ACACATTTAAGGTATATGATCTACATAGCCGAGAGAGCGTGACTTAGGGTCATACGGCGAAGATCCCACGACAAAATTGTCACTCGTGGATCACGTGTTTCGGTTCTAACACTATGCATAAGGATATATTTTGGCATACATGCCTAATGCCCAAATAAAAAAAAAAATTAAATATAGGAGAATTTACAAATAAGGGCCCAAAAACAAAAATAATTACAAATAAGGCCCAAAATGAAAATAATTACAGATAGAGGCCCGATATTTGAAAATTATTACAAATAAGGGCCCAAATATATCATCGCTAGCCGATTTAATCATAGCGGTATCATGGTTAATTGTCTTATTTCATGATTAAATAGGTCTTTTAGAGTTATCATTCATTATTTAGAATTACAGTCAGGCCTCTCTATAGTCCTTCTTCTATAATCTTATTTGCTTATAATCACAAAATTTTAAAACTAACTCGTATAGGTAATGTATATGACATTTAACCTTTATATAAGCACAAAATTTTTGAAGCCAAAGATGTGATTATAGAGAGTTTAACATAACAAAAAAAATGAAAAAATTCTGATTTAATGACAGATTTTTGAAACCATGTGATACAAAATAAAAAATTAGCTTTGTGTGGCCTAATGTGTTTACTCCTCCAAGCTCCATATATGATGTCTCGATCCTACTTTTAGAATAAACACGATTTTCAATATCACAAGGCCAAAGTATTATTATATCTCGTGCTTTGAATGTATTCATAAAAGTTGACAAGTTGGATCATCTTTACATTTGTTAGCTGAAATAGTAAAAGGGCATGACTGGTTTCATTTGTAAACAAACAATTAACAGCTTACTAGGTTTCAGAATAACAGTTTACTTGATTTGTTCATTCTTAACTTAGAATTCAACAAAATAACTGTCCAAGACTGAATGAACAATTTCCAAGTTTGTAAAAGTTATACCGATCTGTAACTTTATATCTAACATTTATGAACAGGTTTTAAGAAGTCAAAGTAATAAATTTACAGTGTGAATAATGAGTTGACGAATCGAATGTACCATTTTTATTGTGCATTTGAATTTATATTCGAATTACTAATTGATTATTATTACATTTCTTATGCATTAACAATCAATAATTATATTACGATCATATTCAAATTATCGAAACGGGGCTAAATCATAGGTTTTTAAAGCAGATGATTATTTTGGGCCCTTATTTTCAAATATCGGGCCTCTATCTGTAATTATCTTCATTTTGGGCCCTTATTTGTAATTATTTTCATTTTTGGGCCCTTATTTGTAAATTCCTCTTAATTATTCCTTAAGAATTGGGTCTTATTAAATAAACTTAAAACTTTAAATGCTTTATAATCATTACTAGTATTACATGTATGTTATTTTTTAATAAGGATTTCAAGTACCACAAATTATATATTAAACATAATATTTAATTCACAAAGATTCAATTTTACTAGTAATACGTTATATATTAATAATCTTGAATTAAATCTGCCCAATTTCCATTTTAATATCCCGCATCTCACGCTCATATATGAGTATAACTTACATAATACAAAATGAATAATTAGGTAATAGTTTAAAATCGAAAAAATTAAAATCGTAATTGACAAGGTCGATGTTGGTCCCGGCTTTTCGAAATCATTTCTTTAAAGTTTGGTGTTGTGCTTGCTTGAATCTTTTTTTTCAATAGACATAATACAATTGGACCAAAACGCATTTGACATAATGAGAAGCGTTTCAAGGTGAGAAAAGCAGGAACTTGTTCAAGTGACATAGACACATCAATGTGAAAAACTTCTACCATAACATATAAGGCGTCACATAAGAGAGTGGTAAGATAGAATGTAATATGATGCCCTATTGAGTACAGAACAATTGTTCAGTAATGTGTAATTTGAAAAAAAGGTATTGCTAGAAACTTACATACAATTCATGTTATAAAAATCAATCGCATCTTTATTAAATACGGCTACCCGAATGAGATCGGTACAAAGAAGGTAAAGGTTGTTAGACTCTTCTTGGACTTTTGCTTTATTACATCCTTTGCTCAAGCCCCAAGACAACTGATCAATTTTATTGATAATAGCATCAGGTTGTTTGGCCCTGCCTATTGGTTTTCTAGCCTTGGACTCTGCTACCTCTTTATTCGACCTGTAGTATTCCTATTGATTAGGAAATGTATAAATAAAATATCATCAAGTTAAAGAGCTTACCATAGCAGGAATATACCACGATCAGGATCCATAAACAGTGGGCTAAGAATTGGGTCAATGTAAGTGGTACACAACTCCATCTCTCCAATAGGACTTTTTAATGTGGCTCTTGGTACTCTTTCGATGCTAATATTTATAATTAAAAAAATGTTAATATTTGAATATTATAAAAGACCCTCTTGTTTCAAAATTTATTCCAATATTACATATTTCTTATGGCCTTCAAAACTGCACATTCTCCAAAAGAACGACCAATCAAAAGAATTTGCAGTTCCGAAACTGCATTGTCTCTTGTAATTTCTTCTCATTGTAGGCGCTATAATAAGAATAAGTGCATTAAATTCTTTTAATATCAAATAAGTGTGAAAGGAAATAATATACCTTGACAATGCGAAAAAGCTTTATCAATATTTCATCGTCAAACTCTGTCTCTTGCTTGGTAAGTCTCCGTATGATATCCTTGTGCATCATTTTCAATAATTCATTCCCAAAAATTTCCACTATTAACGGACAATTTTGGTTGGGCTTCAACAAAAGAATATGTGATAAGGACCTATACAGTATAAGATAATTATTTTCCGCAGTAATCTAGCAAATGAAAAAAAAATGTGGCTTTCCAAAAAAAGGCCCTTCTTATTCGCCAATTCCAATGATTTTTCCTTAAAAAGATGCCATTTCTCAGAGATATCAATATCATTTACTAGCCATCTGGACTCTTTTCGAGGTAAAAGTCCCAATTGCAATCCTACAACATCAGTTATTATTGCTGGGCAGTTGGATTCAATTCCGGTATCAGAATCGTCAGATTCATGGCTGTTATCAAATGGGAGGTTTCCTGCAGGTTGACGTGATGATGGCGAAGTTTCTTTGTCTTGACATTGTCTCCTAAACATTTCTTCTTCGTTATAATTTACACGTTACTTTTTTCTCAAAGAATAATAATTGCTTTTATTGGATTTATTTGAATCAATAGATTCTTCCTCTTGGTTATGTTCGGAAGCGTGTTTCATAGCCTGTCTGCGCTGTTGTCCCACTTCATTTACATAATCATTATGTTCCAATGTATGCTCCACGGTGAATGCCATCTAAGAGATATCAGTTATTACTTATTTTGAAACAAGAGTCGAAAAGAATTGAGAAGCAAATACTTACATCTAAATTTTTAAGAACAGTTTCATATTCCTTGGCATTTCTATCACTTTCAACGCCTCTCTAGAAGTCATTTACTTCATCAGTATTTGCCTCTTGCTTTTTATTTACGAAAAAAAAGGTTATTAGCAATTGTTCTACCAATTTCTGTGACTATCAGCCGGTGTTTATGAACACGATAGATCATAACACATCGAACACGATAGATCATCAACAACTTAGTCTAGAACAGTTCGTATCAAGCATGATAGTTCGACAATGAACTGTTCGGATTGATAAGTTGTTGTAATGTGTGTAATGTGGTAATGATATCAGTAAAAGGTGGTCAACATCAGAACATGATAGATCATCGACAACTCAGCCTAGAACAGTTCGTATTAAGTACGATAGTTCGACAATGAACTGTTCAGATTGATAAGTTGTTGTTGATGCTGAATAACTTGAGAACATCCATAACTTGACGAATACGACTTCTCAAGCCCACCTCTACTCTAACAAATAGATATTACTTAACAGTAAAGCCATTCAAAGCAGAAGGAGCCGTAAGCTGTTGCTCACTTGATCCAGTTGCTATTATCGTTCCCAAAGACTTAGTATAAGTATTGTGTTCTTTCTGTTTATTTCCTGTCCAGCTTTCTTCTTCATGGCGGAAAATTAGAAAATTTAAAAGGTTCCAATCGTGAGACTGAGAAATAGTCCATTTTCATGTTTTATCAAACACGAAAAAGAAATACACGTTTAGCCACCAAAAAATCAGTTTTTTATTACAGGTAGGAACATCCCAAATAAGGAAACCCTTGGTTGACTCAGGACCGACGATCATAAGTATTGGTTAGCCAATCAAAATTGCAAAATAATAATTTTTATACTATTAATAAAACCGCGAAATTTCTTTAATAAAATTTTTTTGTAAATATTTTTAATTCGTGATCTGTGGGGTACCCTTATGTCCAGAAAATCCCGGGCTGAAGATCACTTCCGACCCTATCCGGATCCAATAAAATCACAGGA